TGATTCGCTTTTTAGAAGCAACTCGACATCTCTCTCGGAACAACGGTGTAGTATACCCACCACCAGCCAGTCACTATGCCAGTCCTATCTGTCAGGTCTGGACTTGAAGACTCTTCGAGGCAACCCGATTGAATCCCCCAAAGTGAGGGGATTTGAGCAAAACGTTCGGTCGCGGGCAGGGATTCCAATGGAACCTGGATTTGTCCAGGAACACAACAAAGAAACTAACATCTTCCCCACATCTTCCCCCAAACACGTCAAAAAAAGATCCGAAACATCATAATTAGGAAAAACATAACAAAACACCCGCCAGTGCTCTATCTAACACCGCCATCCAACCACCGCTATCTCAGCGACCGTCGTCCAACGACACGCCGCCGGGCCGGTCCGACCTTCACGGGCGACATGGGATCCGCCGGGCCCGGCGGCTCCTTCACCCGGTGCCGGCGACCTGGGCCGGAGCCAGGTGCGGTGCGATCGATGGGGGCCGGGAGCCGGAGCGAAGGAAGCAAAGATCCCCAGGTTTGGGGATGACACTTTGGGGAAAAAAGAATCACCTGATCAAAAACGTTTGGATGTGAGGTGTCCAAGTGAGAATTATGGAATGATTATGAATGATTATGAATGATTCCAGTGCTGCACAAAACGCTTGGATGGTTCGATGGAAGGGATCCGGGGCATCTGGGGGTCCGTCTATAAACCACTGGGTGGTGGGTGAAATGATTGACGCTGCTTGTGTATTGAGATGTTATGAGTGTGCTGCTTGAATGTGCCATGCCTCATATTAAAATAAAGGTTTCGAAAGGCCCAACCCATACTGGCCAATAGAGGCGGTGATGTTTGTGTATGTTTCCACCGAAGGTTCCATGATGTCAGAGTTGAACTGGGAGAAGTCTCAGCTGCAGGTGGAGACACTGGGGGGTGGGAAGAGGTGTTGATCAATCATTTCCTATGGCTGATAGAAGAAACATGAAGAAGCACACTGCACAATTTGGAACCATCTGTATGTGACGCGGATGATTTATTGTTTCATGTATCCGAGCAAAATTGGATTTGCCATGATTTACCTATCAATCAACATGGTGTTTTCATAAAGCAACATGAAGCAAACCCAACATTGCCTCGAATATGTTCAAGTCAACGCTTTGCTCCTAGATCCTAAAGTCAGTAAAAGAATACTACCGTACCCTCCCCAATATGCGTCTTAAGACAGTTTCAAGGCTTGTTTAGGTGAGGAGTGGGGCAAGGTCCCCTGTTTGATCCTTTCGCAGCATGGGTGGACCTTTTATGTGAACATTAACTCATTCGCTTGGACCGGGTAAGCAACAGCCAAGTTTGACACTTTTTGATACCCCGACTGCATATCCAAATAACACACTGCCGGTGGATCGAACAAAACAGGTTTGGAGTCAAATCGTCCACGACCGTCGACACCCACACACACCAAACAATAAACATCTGAAGCCCCTGGCCTTTCTACCGGGGAAAACCACACCAAGGCCATTCCAACCGGGTTTTGTGTAGAAAGGCGTTCACCAACCCACCTGAAACAAACGGACTCGTAAGGTCATAAACCAACGTTTACCTCCGTCTTCAGGTGTTGAGTTGCTGAAGCACACAAGCGCTAGTTTTAAGGCCCCGCAGTGACCAGACAGGGCTGAAATCATTGAAAAAAATAGAAAACAAAAAATAAGCAAAAAATAATCAACTCAAGAACTCAAATCCAAAACAAACTCAACAACAAAACTCAACACAAACTCAAAAACAACTCAAAAACAAACTCAAAAAAAAACTCAAAAACAACTCAAAAACCATGTTTGAGTACAATTTGAGTCCAATCTGAGTCCAATTTGAGTCCAATCTGAGTCCAATTTGAGTCTCTCAATTGAGTGGCTTTGGAATCTGAGTTTCGGGTCTGAGTTTTTTTTTTAGTAGGTTGTTGTTTTTTATTTTTTTCATCTTGACCCCTTGCTGTCTGGGTCCGCGTGATCTTAACGCTAGTTTCAACATGTTTCAACTAGAGTACTCAGTGTACACCCCTTGGAACTGCGCTTGCAAGAACACTGCCACATTAATATCATTAATTGATATGATATACCTTTCAATACCTTATTGCAAGGAGTCATACAGGTTCTCACATGGGTCCCACAATCCAATCCAGGCTTGAACAACCTGTGGCAGTTGTGCATGTTTTAGGACTTTTTGGAATCACAGGCTCTGTATAAGATCTCTTTATTGAACAATCATGTTGTATACATGTCTGTTTAATGATGTTTAATGCTTTATCTTAATCCTGTGGAACTGACATTCGCGCCGATGCATACCAATAAAAAGCAACAAAACGGGAGCTGAACTCTATCTGATTCTATTCGTTTCGAGCGACCGACCGGCCACAGCTCCTCCGTCCGGTCCCCAGTGTTTCGCCCAGGGGCGCACCGGCGTGAAGTACAGACGCCGGGACTCTTGCAGGAAGCCTGTGGGACGAGTACTCGCGTGCGTCGTGGGATGGATCACCGGTCGAAAACAAACCATCGGTTGACGCGGAAAGCGTCTTGGCTCGCCTTAAAATCAATGGGTTGACCTGGTATCGTAGACTTGGTGTTGCATTGTATCAAAATCCTTAGTAATTACATATAATTACACACCCTTCCAATTGGTTGACCTGGTTTTGCAACTGGTTTTGTATCATAGTGTAAAGTCCTTAGTCCAACAACAACGTCTTCTGGTGAAGACCGTCGGCGCTTTGAATCCTAAGGACTGAAGACCGTCAATGGCGCATTCCCATTCCTACTCTGTTCCCCGTTCCGAGCGGAGAACCATCCTCTTGTCCTATACTATACTGAAGGAAAAGGGGCCGTGGGAATTGGAGATCATAGCATTGGCTCCTCTTACAACATGGAATTAGCAAGTTTACTCTGCAATAGAACAGTAGCAACCTGTGGAGTGGCCGGGAGAACACCACCTGATGTATACCCAGCTGGTTGCTGGTTTCAACTCACTTGAACAATGTGAGTCAGTGGGATCAATCATCGCAGGTGAACGCTGAACAGAACAACGAAAAATCTGAAAACACCCCCAACCCCATAGACGTTGGGCCTTCGAGTGAATCAGTCCAGTCTGAGGCAAGTCGACTGGCTCATCTTCCGACTCCCCGCTGACCAATCCCCTCAAATGGGGCGTCCCAGAAAAAGGACACCTGAAACTGAAGGTTCTTCACATATCTTCACAGTGCCTTTTGTTGGATGCAACAAATTGAACAAATCACAAGTAGAAGAAAGATGAGTGGAAATTAACAGTTCCACTGTCACAGATTCTGCAAATCGGTAGGCATCCTCGCGTGAACCCTTCTCCCCCCGAGCTACGGCCGTTCCGAGCTTCCGCCCCATGCTCACCTCCCAAGCCACTGGTCATGGTGAGATAGGGCGTTTTCTGTCCAAGCCCGGATTTGGGTGAACTAAGGATGTGAAGGATACCAGGAATTAGAGCGATCTGATCCAGCAGGAGACAATATCTGCATGTCTCCAGATATTGAAACAATTCGATATGGGGTCATATGGAGTCGGATTGATTATACAGTAGCCCGAACTTAGATGAACTTGTAAATACTTTGTGCTTGTATCTGTTTAATGATGCTCGTCTGCCAATTTTTACGGGACGTCCTCTGTGTGACTTGTGACGTCCTCAGTGTGAATGATGTGTTTTTCAGGCACCTGTGTGTAGTGAATGAGCCCACCAATGTTAGGGTTTGCGCCGTCTTTCGACTTCCACTCAAACCGGCAAGTCTTTGAACCAAAAGCCGATGCCATGATGCCAGCAAGCATTGGCTGATGATTTAGTCAGAACAGCCATTCGAGGTAAATTGGATTGGTCTGCTGTAAGCATTCAAGTACTTCAAGTGGGTGTTCAGTTGCTTCAATGACTGGCTGCTGTAAAACGACCGACTCAAACATGCAACTTCAGATTCAAAGGTGTGTTTCTTGCTGGTTCAGATTTATGGGGCAACTTCGACCGAGGCCGTCAACAAAATTGGTGTTTTAGGGATCACTGGGAGCAAACTGAGCAGCCTTGAGGTAGAATATGGTAGAATAGCGACAAACCGATCGTGCCATGTGTTGCTGTGCAAAACGCTCAGGGGCTTCAATATCTGTCAGTATATGTACTACTATCTCATCCAGAGAGGTCCCCCGAAGTTCACCTGCTATAGCCTGTCATCGTGGATTCGTCAGCTTAGCTTGTCGTGGATTCCTAAGGTCTGCACGAAATTCAGCTTGTTATCTGCTCTGAAACGTTCCTTTGCACGGTATGTCACCTGGAGGATCTGTTCGTACCTCAGAAAATGGCTGCTTAAGGTTATTTTGATCGGGTTATGTCCATGTCCCATGTCCCATGTTCTAGGCAACGAACGAGACGTCGGGTTCGCGCATGGAAAGAGGTGAAACAGATTTCTTTTTCGGTGAATCGGCCTCATCGCTTTTTTGGTCAACATCCCCTCCGAAGGTCTGAACTTAAAGACTTCACAACCCTGGGTTCACCCAGACACGGCACAATCCGTGAAAACCACCCGTGAGAGGTCCGTGAGAGGTCCCTCAAAAACCTCAAAAACCTCTTTAGATCAGGTCAGAGGTTCGGGATTTGACATGAGAAGATTCCACACCCCAAAACAAACATTTCGAGTCCGATCCCTCCGCCCGCGAGAATAGGGCGTTCCCTCGTCTCGGTGGTCGTGGACGACCCACGATCCCTGTTAGGCTTCGAGGCCGCCTTGGAGTCGCTTTTTGGAGGCTGCCTTTTACAGGGTCTAAGTGACCTCCACGGATGAAAAGGTCACTTGGAAGAACCAGGATCTGCTTGTCTAAGAGGAACACCGTGAACACCGTCTTCTTTTGGGGGCCATGTTTCACTTCCATGGTGGGATGGAGGGTATGTCATCTAGACTTTGGCCATCCACTTCCATGATTGTTCCGGAGTGTAGTTTCAGGTTTTCAGATGACCAGATCTGCCTTCATGGAGTAGTAGAGAGGCCGGAAGAGCTGGTCGACCAAATGCCTGGCTTGGAAGGCATATTTTCGAACCCAAGGGGGGGTGCAAATCCCCGAAAGCCCTCGTGGAACAAACCAGTGCGTGACAACTGTGGAATTGGACGCTTGGGGGTCGTGAAACGTCAAAACTGTAATTATGAACAATTGTCAACTGTCAACATGACCATACTGCTACAATTTTTCTGGTACTGACAAAAGCTTGCATCTATCTGATTGCTCATCAATCTCATCCTCAAATTTCCTGGTATAGCCACATGGGGTGTTGTAAAAACCCAGTGTCTTTTGCAATACCTCGAAACCATGTTATCGTGTTTTTTTCTACTCTTATCGTTTTCTCAGGTGAAAGCATCTTTGGTGGAAGATCACAAATCAAAAGATGTCCTTTGGTGGTCTACATGGTCCTACTTCAGGATCCCGCAGCATATGGACCAAACAGCCCATTCAGTTCCTAGTAGTAAGGCCAGGAGCCCCTAAGAGCTTCTTGTTCCTGGTAGCGATGTTGCTTTGTAGTAAGGCAAGGAGTCCCTAGTAGCTTTTTGTTATTGTTCTTAGTAGCAAGGCCAGGAGTCCCTAGTAGCTTCTTGTTCCTAGTAGTAAGGCCAGGAGTCCCTAGCAGCTTCTTGTTCCTAGTAGTAAGGCCAGGAGCCCCTAGTAGCTTTTTGTTCTGAATGTGCAGGTATAATAATTGTTATCGTTCTTTTTACTCTTGTCGTTTTCTGGGGTAGGAATGCATTAGTAGTGCTAAGGTGCATGCCAATACTAAACCGCTGAGCACAGGGTTATTACAACAGCCCACATGCCAACATCTCATTCCCCCGAAATCCAAACCCTCTGATTGGAGTCAAGATGGTGAACAACTACGAGCACATCGATCTCCCTCGACTTGTGCTCGTTACGGCATGGACCAAATATAGACCGGTTTCATCCAACGTCGCCCAGCTCGAAATGGTTTCGCATCTGCGGTCCGATCGGTCCTGTCCTATGTCGACCTGGCCATGGGCTCGTGACCCATGTTTTCACCCGACGGTCGTTCACCATTGGCCGCGCGAGGTCGACACCAAATAAGCAGAACCCATCGGGGGCTCCCAGTCGACCCCCACGGCCGAACAACCACCGAAACGGCCGAACAGATGCTGCAGCCGGCCGTTTCGGTGTTCGACCGGATCCGGTCCCAAAACCGTTAAAGACCACCGCTCCGCGGCCGTCCGTCGTGAGAGGTCCCGTCCGGACGCCTGGTGAGCTTGTCCAGCGCCTCTTTCTCCGTCTCTTGAAGACCCTGGAAGCGACCAAAATGGGCCGGACCGCAAATGGACCAGGCTGATGAGGTGATACACACCCTTTACTAAAGGCGTTTAAGCAGACAACATGATTTGGTGGATGGAGTTTCTTGCTTCCTTGGGCTTTAGCAAGGTGGGAGGGTTTAAGGCAACCGGTATCAACCAGTTCATTAGGTCGACTACCTGCAAAACGTTTGGTGCTCGTAAATCGCACACGCAAAGGTGCTGTTGCTCAAGCAACATAATAGCAAGATTGGTAAACATGTTTGTTGGTTGGGGTACCAGCATCTTATGATGCAGCCTGACGTGATGTGAATCAACATGGGAGACAATCCCAACATCTAAATGGTGTCCCAGATTGAGTCAACTGGAGTGCTAACACAACGAAACAATGAGAAACATCAATCAGGAGTCGACGAGCGTTTCAGATGTCCCATCAGTCTCACCATCCCAAGAGGTCTACGTACCTCCCCGGTGCGTTTTTGGTGGTCTACGTCTCAAACCAACGAACATGGTCGACCTGGGGCCCCTCAGCAGTACATGAAACCGATGGTCTTCCACCGATGGTCTTCCGCATGAAAGGCGTTCAGGCCCCCCTTGCAGATCCGACATCGGCCTTCAGCTTGTGTTCCATCTTGGCATACTCGCTGCGGCGGATGTTCTCAGCCATTGCCTGGGAGATGGGAGATGCTTCGACACAAGGTCATCCAAAGGATCCCTACCAAAGGCAGAACTCCAGTCAGTGCAAGTTCCGAGAAATAGATATATGGAGAAAAGATGAGAAAAGCGCAAGGGGGCTGAAGAAGTGGCTGAAACCAGCTGCTTCAGGATGCATCTACACTTGGAGAGCCCTAAGTCACCTTCTATTTGCAGTGCATACGGGAGTTGCATTCAAATACTTGATTTAGTGTGCGCGCGCGCACTAAAACACCCTCTTCTGCAGCAAAGCACACTTCTGCAGACAATCACACACATTCCAGCCCTCCAGAACTTTCTTGATCTGTCCAGCTTCCGCAAATGTCCAGTTCGTTCCGTTAGGTCAAGCATCGTTAGCACATAACACACAAAGAGGGGTCCTTTGACCGTGCGCAACGCACTGCCGTGACGATGTGCCCAAACCCGGCATCAATTTTTGAACTCTACCAAAACCGCAAGAGATAAGAGTACAATAAATATTAAAAAAAAGACATGATCCAGCGCATGGTTTATAGTTGTGGTTGTTGCTTGATCTTTTATTTGGTTCTTACGAGATCTTACGAGTAACATCAACTTCTTCTGCCAGCGAACGATGGCCAAATCGCCCCTTGAAAAAAACGGACCTACTGTCCTTTCCGGTTCCACGGGTCAACGCGGTGTTCCATTTCCACGTTGTGAGTGGCGGCGGAGTGGATCCGAAACACCACTCTTCGGACGCGTTGATTCCGGAACTGCACCGAACTCATCCCAGGACTGAAACCTGCAAGGCAGCCAGGTAGGGCACCGCCCCTTGCGATGCCTCCGGCCGGTAGGGGTGGTGGTGTGGTGACCCTCACTGGATCGAGGGAAATGGGACCGGATCAGCGATGCACATGGACCAGGACCTTCAAAGTGACCGTCCTTGAGATCCTAGAATGAGGTCACTTAGTCCCTAAAGAGGTCACTTCCAGACTCCAAAGAGGTCAGATTGAAGGTCTAGGACTCAATATTCCAACCCGGCTGGAATCAAGGGGAAGCAACCGGTCCGCAGTTTTGGGAGTTCATGGCAGAAAACGGGAGCTGGCCACGGGAGAGAACTCCCAGCCCAGTCCAAGTGGGTTGTAATAACTTATGCAATTACCACAGAAAAGCTGAGCCGCTTTTGCTCAATATGAGTCAATATGGTGCAATACCAAAATTGAACAACGCTATGAACTTTGCGAAGGTAGCCGGTGTTTATAGTGGGGCCTACCATCATCCATGTACCGCTTATTGACATCATGTGCAGGCAGAATCCATTGACACTTGTGACGACACCCCTTTGTGGGTCTTATAGCAAAGCTCCTTGACTGGGGATTGCTTCACGTTTTGAGGGAGCAAGGTCGTTTTGCGAAGTTTGGGTCTCTTTGTAGAAACTGACCCCGACGGAGGAAGATCATATTGGATCTCTTGAGGGGACCTGGACTGTTGAGGTTTGAGGGACAGCAGGTTCTTCGGGTGAATATATTGGCCCAAAAGGTAGGTGACACGACTTGTCCGACTTGCGCACATGCAATTTGATGCACCACCCGCATCTCTTGTTACCCATTCGCAGCAGGTATAGGGGTAGAGAAAGACTAGGCGAAAGTATCACAACATGAATTAACACTGATTCTAAGGGGTTATCGGTGATCTCCATCCAAAGTACCTGACGTGTCGGCAATACCGTAATGAGACCCACTGTGAACGAACCTAATCTGGAACAGGATTGGCAAGTGAAATCAAGTGATATCAAGTGAGCAAGGTGTTTTGTTTTCTGTTTTTGAATCTGTTTTTAGGGTCGAGAACTTGTAATCATCGTTCATGGCATCTTTGATCAAATGCTATTTGTATAATTGTAATGTGTGGCGCAAATGTGCCTTCCACATTCAACGGGCATGTGTGTGTGTGTGTGTCAACCCCTGGACCAAGGGTTCACCGCTACTGACTTTCTACTTTCCCCCCC